AGATATGTCTATCCGATTATGGGATCTTAAGACAGGATCACAAAAAGTCAAATTAGATGGTCATACTCGTGCAGTTAATTCAATCTGTTTCTCTCCTGATGGTATCACATTAGTATCTGGTGGTAGAGATAAAACTATCCGTTTATGGAATGTTAAGACAGAATCATAAATAGGTAAATTAGATGGTCATACTAGTGAGGTTGATTCAATCTGTTTCTCTTCAGATGGTACTACATTAGCATCTAGTAGTAGCGATAACACTATCCGTTTATGGGATGTTAAGACAGGATAATAAAAAGCCAAAATAGATTGTCACTAATATTCAGTTAGTTCTGTTTGTTTCTCTTCTGATGGTACTAAATTAGCTTACGACAACTTAGATGAGTCTATCTGTTTATGGGATGTCAAAATAGGATAATCAATGCTTGAATTCAAAGGTCATGAAGACCCAATTATATCAGTGTGTTTCTCTCCTGAAGATACTACATTAGCATCTGGTAGTTGGGATAGGTCTATCCGTTTATGGGATGTTAAGACAGGATAATAAAAAGCCAAATTAGATGGTCATTCGAGTGTTGTTAGATCAGTCTCATTCTCTCCTGATGGTACTACATTAGCATCTGGTAGTTTTGATAACTCTATCCGTTTATGGGATGTTAAGACAGGATCATAAATAGCCAAATTAAGTGATCATTAAAATTCGGTTAATTCTGTCTGTTTACTCTCCTGATGGTACTACATTAGCATCTGGTAGTGCTGATGAGTCTATCCGTTTATGGGATGTAAAATCTGGACAAGAAAAATTAACTTAAAATAATCTGTAAAAAGATACTCAATTATAATCCAAATCACCTATTTTTACAGAAAGAAGTATTAATATATGATCTTATTTAGCTTCACCTTATGTTTCTATACTTCACATTTCCTAAACTCCTTATGTAGAGGCGCAAGGAGCATTAATCCTGAAAGGAGACTTTGTTAATTTTCAAGGTGTAGATTTAAGTTAATTATTCAAATCAAAAGGGAGTTTGATTTATAAATGATAAAAGATTAGTAATAAAATTGGTTATTTCAAAAACAACGTTATTAATATATAATGTCAATTAATAATTTCTATATTTGCTTTTATAGCCTAGTATCACAAAGTGTTAAGCTAAAATTTATTTATATAAATTATATCATTAAATTTTTATTTTAATAATTTTTGTCAAGAAAATATAATGATATTTTGTTGCAAAATTAGATATCCAAAATATTATATATCTGTTTCAATATTAATATGAATTAGTTAGTGATTATAATGTCAGGAGAATAAATCTATTAATGATAAGTCTTTAAAAGAACTGCTAGTTTAATTCAAAACTCTTATTAGAATCAAATTTTAGAATTTGCTATTTTATATTTCATATGATTTAAACATATCCCAAAATTGCAATTATTCATGTAATATAAATAAGCAATTGACAATTTTTTTACAATAATAATGGAATTAAATTAGTCTGAGTAGAGTTTCCAAATTATTTAATATATTCTTTTAGGAATGTCTGATTAAGAAAGTTAAGATCCATAAAAATCAGTTAATTTTAAGAAATTAATTTCTTAGAAGTTCAACTTTCTTTAAAATGAAAACTTGCAATTTAAACTCTCAATCAATGCATAGAGTCTTTAATAACTGCTCTAAAAAGATAGAAATGCTGCCTAAAATTCTATGGTTCATTTCTTCAAATTAATATTTAAGCTTTTTAAATAGAAAGATAATAGAGAATTTGAAATTAAATTATTTGAGGATTAAAACATTTATTACCTGCAATGCTCTTTTTTCTTTTACTCATTTTACTTTTATTTTACAAATTTAGTCACATTTCACATATATCTGTAAATCTTCAAATGATTTTTAATCAGAGTCCATTATTTTTTCTTTGATTAATTTATTTTGATTGAATTTTTCTCATTTTAATCATAATTTTAATAAAAAGTAATTAAATTTACTAAACCTATTTTGCCAAGTTTTTGCTTTAAAAAATGGCAATTTATACATAATAATTTTGATGATTTCCTTATAACCTTTACTAATAATCAATTATAAAACGCCTTCTCCTAAAACAAAGAGGCTCTATATATCTTTTGTTCTATTCTTAATTGACTCCGAGTGAAGTTAAATTACAAATAATAACTAGAATTGGTCATCCTATTTGCTAATCTCACAAAATAACTTAAAAATATTCAAATTAAAAATCTCAATTATACAAATAATTAAATTAATTAATAAATTGACATATAAATAATGTCTAATAAATTTCCAAGATTTGATTATTTCAGATTTGTGAGAAATATTTAAATGGTTATATGATTTCTCAAATTACTGATTTAGTTTGTTAATCAATTTCGCTATCTAAATATTGAATTTGAATATTCGATGATAAGAATTAAATAGTAATGATTGTATTAAATCTTTTATATCCAATCCTTACATAAAATAACATTATCTTATTATATCTTGAGATAATACAAATTAATTATATATTTAAAAATAATCTTAATTGTCTGAAAGATATTTGATGTTATTGATGAAGAATCAAAGAGGATTCATCTTGGATCATCTTAGATCATCTTAGCTTATTCTTTGAGCTATTCAAGAATAAGTAATTATTTTCCTTTATTCCGGATTGATTTCAATTCTCATTTATTAAAGATTTTAATTCGACACAAATAAATATGTTAAATCACAGAATTTATTTCTTGTCCATCTTAACATTGATACTAAACCTTAATTTTATTAAAAATGCTCTGGCTTGCCCCTTTAGTACTTATCAAGAGGCAATAATAAATAGTGGTAGCTAAAAATGGATGAAATCCTTAGAAATTGATAATAAGTCAAATGGAGATGTATTTATATTTGGATTTTGGACTTTCAGCATTCCATTGTTAATTCAAACTGATAATGTAAATGTTGGTGAAGAATTTAAAATTAATGAACTTTAGACTGGAGAATTCCTCTTTTTACTAAAAAATACTGAAACAAATGACAATTTAATAGTTTGTTATAAGTCTTTTGATTATGTTTAATAAAAAGTGTAACATATATTTCTGTTAGAAAATGGTTTGGGGAATTTTAAATTCATTTTTGATTTCAATTCATTACAATATGAAGGAATATGGGTGTTTCATTTAGTGGTTTTGGAGAATTAATAAAAAAAAATGATGGTTAAAGTAAATTAATAGGATGCATAATCAGCAGACTTTAGTTATTAAAACCTATTAAATTTAGAAATAATAATTGGTGGAAAAGGATATGTAATTATTTCTAAAAATATAGATCAACAATTTAAATCTTAACTATTTTAAAGGAATATAAAGTAAATTAATATTCAAATCTTCTATTGATTATTCAAATGTTATTACTTAAGAACTAATGAATGAATGCTAGATTCCTTAAAAAATAGGACTTGAATAGACCATCAACATTGTACAAGGATTAAAGTTATTTGAAGGAAACCAAGTTCTATAGATGCTAATCGATCAATATGGAAATAAATATTGTATACAAGGATGGGTTAAATACACATTGACAACTGTAAGTGATCAAAAATATACTTTATTAAAATTAAAGGGGATTTCTAACTTTGAATAAGAAAAAACTTTAGGAGATGAATTATTCAAGGTGGATGTATTTGTATCTTAAAATATACCAGAATAAACATATATGATGGTGAATGTTGATGCATATGGTATGCCAGTTTAATAATCATTTCAATCTCAATATGATTTAATTTTTTAAGGATCATCAAATCCTGATTATAGTGTATTACAGACAAGAAAAAAGTATTAGGATTTAAATTCGTAGCTTTATTATGATGGATTATAAGAATGGCATTTTATTTAGTATGAGTATGGAAGGAGCAGCTTTGATGAAAGAATGTTATTAATCATTAAATTTTCAAATGAATTAGGACTTTTAAAGGACAATTTAGGAAATGATATATTTAGTGGAACATTTACGAATTCTAAATTTAATCTATTTTTTGGTGGAGATAACTTAAATAATGTAATTAATAATAATTTTCTCAATGCTCAAATTTATAATTTTAAGATGCAGTACAATTATAACGAAGAAAAACTGTTTAATGTTGATTGCCATTACACATGTTTGACTTGTTTTGGACCATTGGAAAAAAATTGCTTAACTTGTGATCCTAATTCGAATAGATATTATTAGGATGAATTAAAAATATGCGAGTGTTTCTCAGGTTCCGTTGAAAAGGGTAATATTAAATGTGAGAATTAATTATACTTTTCAATAATTCAAGAAGAAATTGCAATAGAGTTAGAAGATAAATGTCCTTTTGGATATTTTATGTTACCTGATGAGATAGGAAGTAATTATGATTGTCTAGAATGGTATGATTAATATTTAATGTAGTCCATCTTTGAAGAGAACTACATCAATTTAATGTGTTGATTGTTTGTTCTATCCAAAAACATGGTATCTAAACCCAGTAATGTAAATAAGATTATCAATAAATATTTTAAAAATATCATGATGAAACTTTAGTCCTTAAATAGAGGATTCCTGCTTAAAATGATGTTTATCTGATTGGGAATGATAAATAGATACATTTATATACAGAATACGAAGATTATTGTTAGTATTCTATAAATATAAACAGTTACTGTCATAAAACAGCTCATTCCCATCTCGGGTCTTAAGCTACTTTAAAATGCAAATATAATTATTTATTTGATATGGATAATTAATTGTGTTTGAAAAGTGATTATATTTGTAAGACATATGATATTTTTGGATATTGTGTTGATTGTCCATTAGGCATGTACTTAATTTTTTACTTTTGTTCTTCATGCCCTAAGTCTTGCACTTCATGCTAAAGAGATCAATTAAATAGATTGATGTGTTAAACATGTATTGAATAATATGCTATTAAAAATGGTGCATGTATTAAATGTGGTAGTGATTGTGAAATTTGTAAAGATACTTATGATGATAATCTGGGATAAAGTTATTTGAAATGTTTGAAATGTATTGATGATTCTCAATACCTAATTTCTCTTGATGGTATTAATTGCATATTAAATGACATTCTTCATTGTGAGTATGCATTTTAAACATTAGATGATGATTATACTATAAACTCTCTGGATATCAATTTCACACCATAGTTTGATTAAAGTAAATTTAAATTATTATGTGCAAAATGTGAACCAAATTATTTATTTGTTTTTGGAAGCTAATAATGCATTTATTATGATAATACTGAAAATTGTTATACAGGGATTGGATAGTTCAGAAGTGATCAAACCTTAGAATTATTATCATGTATAAAGTCAGATAAGTATGAAAAAGAAGTTGTTGAATTTATTGAAAACTGCAGCAAAAAAGTAATGTATTGTTAGGTTTGTCTTGAGACTAACATTCAAAATTATTTTCTTTGTTTAGAGTGTCAAACTGGATATTATGCAGAATAAGCGTCTGGTTAGTGTATTTAATGTCCATATGAGCTGAATTGTATTTAATGTTATTAGCAACATTCTATTTCAAAAGATCATTGGAAAAAAGATGTTAGAGCATTTTATAGAAGATACATAGAAATAACAAATACTCATTAATTTACTCTAAATGCTCAGAGTTAAAATGTAAATGATTATGAATTTGTTTGTTAAGTGTGCTAAAATGGATATAGAGAATATAAAAATAAATGCATAAAAAATTTTTCAGATTCTTGCATTGAATCCTTATTAAAAGATGATTAATATTATTGTGTAAAGTGCTTTAAGGATTAAAAAGGAAGAAAATAATCTATTATCAATAATGAATGTATTGAATGCCCAGAAAATTGTCAGTTATGTAGGCCAAGGTCAGCCTAAGAGATTGAAGCAATTAATCCATTATTCAACAATTAGAAATATTAAAAGTACACTAATCAATGCGTTAAGAGTTATGATGACTAAAGTTATTATTATGATAAAGATTTAGGATTATATGTAGAATGTTAATAAACTTCAAATGGAAATGGATGTTATAAATAATTAATTATAGAATTAAATTTATATTAGGATTAATTTCTTTATTTTGATGATTTGAATAAATTATAAGATGAAGATAGTAGAATTGAATTCAAAAAAAGAAACACCTATCTCTAAAGTTTTAATTCATTTGATATGTTATTTGGTGAAGTATTTAAGTAAATGTATTTTAGTTTGAAAATGAAGAATTCTACACACTGGCCAATATGAAATAAATTAAATCTATTGTAATAAAAGTTGTTAGTGTTCTAATTAGTAATGCTAGTATTACTGGTATTCTTAGTCAAAAATTTTGCAATAACATTTTCTCAGTTATGTAAATTATTATTTATTATAGAAAGAAATGTTGAACTAATTTTTGAAATGCCTTAAGGAACTGTAATATCTATAAAAGAATTAGTGTAGTTCAGTAATTTCAACAAGATTTTACTAATTAATATTACTTTTGATGCATGTGTTCCTTGTAATTCTTAGATAAACCTTATTTTTGATAGTGTATTCCCGTAAATTATTACTTTGAATTAAATTACAATCTAACAAATATACGAGCCATCATATTTTGATTATTTCAAGATTTAAATATAAAATCTACAAAACCTCTTTGCCAATGGACTTAAACTTATTTCATTTGGTTAAACAAGTGTAGATTAGTTTCTTACGATATCTGGATCAAATGCTAATAAATCTATTATTTTTAAAGATTTAGAAATAACAAACTGTTAATTTTCAAATTCAATTATATTTCGGATAGAATTGTAAGAAAATGATGTGATTGAGTTTGATAAAGTTACTGTATAAAATTCATAATTCAACAATATAACATTTATTTAAATCGACACTTTGGCTCCAGCAGGATATTTAATATTAAAAAACATAGAAATCGAGAGTGAAATATCTGATAGCAAAACCTTTTTTGCGTTATAATCCTTTAAGGAAATAGAAATAACAAATTTTAGTATAATGTAAACAGTCATAAATAGTTCAACAATTCTCATTCTGAACAATGATGCTTTATTAAATAATGTACAGTTTCTAAGTAATTCTTTTATATCTAGTAGCTTTGGAATTATTAATATGAACTAATTATCTTATTTGGATTATGATTACTAATTTAATAATGTCTAATTTGAAAACAATAAATATAATAATGTCATTAAATTCATTGAATTCAACAAATATTAGAGTTCAATTTAACGGGTTAAAATTGAAGAAATTAAGCTTATTAATAATTATTTAGTAGATGAAGCCCTAGAGTATAACTAATAACAGATTGATTCTTCTTTAGTCTTAATTCAGTTTGACGAGATTTCGATAATCAACTTTTTCATTAATAGAGGCTTTGGATTAATTGAATTCTCATTATAAGAATCAAAGGTTTTATCAATAATAAATGGAAAAATAAGGTAAGAATAATTTTAGTTCTTGGGATTGCATAAGAATTTAAATTGCCAATTAAAATAAGTTAAAGGTCAATTATATCCTTCTTCAATAAATATTGGATCTTTTTAGAATGCTTCATTTTAGAATGTCTCAATAATATAGGCTTCAACATACAATTTTCCAATTATCAAGATTCAATCAGCCTTATTGAGTCAAAGAAGAATTTTGGAAAATCTTGTTTTAGAGAATATTTTTTTTTAATAAAATTTACTACTATTAAGTAAAGTATAATTTTCACCTTCTTTGATTTAAATTGATTCTCTTTAAGAAAGTATAATCGTAATCAATAATCTAACATTTCAACTTAATGTTCTCCACGAATACATTTAAGATGATTTAGTAAAATAAACTGGACTGCTATTAATTAATTGTCCAAACTGTTAAATCCGATTATTGAATTCGATTTTCAACAATAATATTGTCACGAATAGTAGTGGAACTATTTTATCAATAGTAACTAAATCTTTTGAATTAACAAACTGTAGTTTCGAAAGTAACAATATCTTTAATTATGATGTCTTAAAACCTCATTTATTGTGGGGATTTACTCAACCTTTAACTTAAAAAATTATCAATAAAGTCTTTTAAGTAAAATCGTTGTCTGGAAATGGATAAATTTGGGTTTAATCATTGAATATACTTAATAGTAAATTCTTCAATTCAATCGGATAATTAGGCGGTTGTTTCTCTATATTTGCTTAAGGATCATCTCGAATGATAATTGAAAATAACTCATTTTACAATTTGTCGACCTAGTTTTATTAAGAAATTGAACAAGGAGGAGTCCTTTACATCGAAGGTTCTTCTGCAGCAGCTCTTGAAATTTTCATAAAAAACACAAAAGTTGAAAATGTACATTGCAGATAATATGGAGGATTTCTGTATCTAAAATCTAATAACTCTTAAACTAATCTCACAATAAGCGACATTATTCTAAGAGACATTTATGCATAACAAGGATCTGTTGTGTTCATATCCTATTCGAGATTAGTTGAGGATCAATAAACTATTTTCATCTAAAAATTAGAAATTACAAACTCTCAAAATGGCTATTTTCAATTTTTAAATAAATTTACAATAGTTGCTAATGAATTTGAAAAATACTATGTAATTAATAATAGAACATTATTTTTTGTGGAATATGGATCCTCTCTTACATTGTAAAATATATCTTCATATTACCTAATTCAAGAATCTTTTCTAAATTTGTAAAACACAAGGAATATTTATATGGATACAATAAATATATAAAATAGTTATATCAGTAATTAATTGATCTCAATAAATCCCGTTTTATGTATTTATCTAATTTAAATTAATAGATAAGAATGTTACAATAAGGCTACGTAACTTCAACATAGAGTTTATTTTTGTAGGATTTGAATTTAAAAATCTGACTTGTACAAATTCAACATCCACAGTATAAGATGCTTTCTATGAATGCCCAATGGTATCTTAAAGGGCCCCTAATTCTCTCGAGCAGGATGATGATAACTACGAATTGATTGGACAATGTTTGTATATATCATTAAGGAAACAATTAGATGTTTCTAATTCAGGATTGATAGTTTTCAAATATTCTACTCTCCAGTGTTAATTAGAAATGTATGTTGTTTTCCTCAGATAAGTAGACTGTAAGGTTTGTAACTCAGGATTGATTTCTCTATAACTTTAAGATTCAAATTTACAGGAGTGGAAAGCCTATAGCTAATAACTAAATCAAATAAAAGTACTAAACTCAAATTGTGGTTAAAAAGGGTGTATAGTTGTCGAGAGGATCTAATTATTAAGTAGAAGAAACTTGATTGAGATATAGTCGTAGTTACAATATGATCTACAAATTTCTAACTATTTATGTTTCCTTAATCTTGGTAAAGATGGAACTTGCCTCTATTTGAACTAAATTAAAACTATGATACAATTTTCAACATTTTAATCAAATAATGCTTCAAATAATGGTGGAGCTCTGTATATCTTAGGAGACCAACCTCTTTTAGTTGAAAACAGTATGATTGTAAATAATAGAGCAAATGTTGGAGGGGGCATTTATCTTCAAGATTAATTATCGATGAATTACGAATAAACTCATACAATACTTTAGAAGAATTCAGCTATTTTATATGGTAATAATATCGCTTCGAATCCTGAAAGATTGTCAATTTAATTAAAGGATGATTTGGCTATGTTGAATACAGTTAATTATATTGACAATAAAACAATGAAAATTGATGAAATTATGGTTTAACCATTTTAACTTATCAATGGAAAGTATTCTAAATATGTTCAATTGCCAACAGGACAATCGATATCTAAATATCAATTTTTTGATTGGAAGAATTAAGTATTCATAAATGCTAAAATGATATTTCGAATATTAACATTAAACAGAGATTAGACTATCAATCTAAATCCATCAATTGAAAGGTCAATATGTACTATTCAGAGCAGAGAATATAATATTTCTAAGGAAGATGAGGATTAATTATTCACTAACAATTACACAAATCTTAACTCAATTAAATTTAATTCAGATACTTTAGATTATAATTTAGATGAATTAATTGTGTATTTTAATAATGAAGTACCAGAAGATATTGTACTTCAACTTGAATTCATGTGTGAGACAATTAAGGTGCCTATTTTTGGTTTAGAATATCCATATTTTGTTGAAAGTTATCATGATAACTATAAACTAAGGATTAATGTTAAGACTTTCGAATGTTAATTTGGGGAAATCAAAAACATAACTAATTTCTCTTGTGAACAATGTGATTCAACTCAAGGACTCTATTCATTAGAAGTGAATGCATAAAAGTGTGATGTAAAGGATGATATGTCATCTATTGCTGTTTAGAATAATTAAATACAATTAAGGAATGGATATTGGAGACCTAATTTTGATACAAAATTAATCAGTTATTGCATCAATTTACCAAAGAATTGCAATGGTGGATGGAATGAAGGTGATACTTCTTGCTATATTGGACATCTAGGAGCTCTTTGTGAATAATGTGATTTATACAATATCAGAGGAGATGGTTCATTTTCAGTGACTGAATAATATACCTGTGGAACTTGTTTGGATCAGGGCAGAAATGTAATTATGATTGTAGGTGTAATTATCATGACTATGATCTTTATTGTTATCTCAGTCTCTGGTAACATAAAAACAGTTGAGTAACACACTCGAGGTTAGCCATTCAAAAACATGAGAATCTCAAACTTTTTAAATAAAGCATAGTCGGGCATATTGATTAAGATGTTAACAACTTATCTCTAAATCATTGTTACCATAACTACATTTTAACTTAATTTCCCATAAGAGTTGAATCGTACCATATCTGCAGTAGGAAATCCTTTATAAACAGTTACTCATTCTCTTGATTGCTTTTTAGTAAATATAATTCATGTAGATATTCAATATAGTAGGATGATATGGCAAATCATCATGCCTTTTCTGTATATTAATTTCTTTCTGGGATTCTATTTGATGGCAGCTCATTTTAAATTAGCATCGTACAATTCCAGTGTTCCCACTACATCCTTGATTTATGGGTACCTTTATTTCTCTCCCAATTTAGCAGATGGCTTAGTTTAATTGGCATCCTATAGGTAAATTTCAGGATTTAAATGGATACAAGCCAATGTATCAGAACGGTATGATACGATTATTCACATTAAATGGATGGTTTATTTCTGTCTACCTTTTTTACTAATTTTGGGTATCTTAATCCCATTCTATTTATTATATGGACTTTATAAATGCAGAAGAGTCTAAGATCAAAGATCTACTCGACTTCATTGGGGTTATTTATATCATGAATACAAAGAAGAAGCCTACTTTTGGGAATTGATAAAGATAGTTTAAAAAGAATTAATCATCTTATCTCTGATTTATTATTAGGATAGCATAGCAGTTAAAGGTATCCTAGTACTTTTCATCACTTATCTCTATTAAGAACTCAATAGCAATTACAGACCCTACAAATTAAGTAGTCTCAACAATTTAGATTATTATTCTGCAAATATATGTATGATTACCATCAGCCTAGCCATTGGAGCATATTTAGCCTAATCTTCAGATATATCTGGACTTTAAATATTATTTTTTATCATGATGGCCCTCTTTAATTTTCTTTTCCTGTATAAGATAATTACTAAAATAATAGCAGAGTATTCAAAGGCTTATTAATTTGCATTTGATAAATTAAAAGAAATAGTTAAATCCAAATTACCAAATTTACAGCATTCAAGATATTTCAAGAACCTACTAAAAAACAAAACCTAAGAAAAGGAAAGAGTTTAAAAAGCATTCAAAAAATTGAGAGTGTTTGGCATAACTTTGGCAAAAAGAATAATTGAATAAAAAAATTAATCAATTGAAAATTACAAAAGATTTAAAATTAGTGAAATTATTGATTCTTAAGGGTATTAGAGAAAAGAGACCAAACTAGATCTCTAAGAACCTGACAAAGTAACTATGCAAAGATTTCTTTAGAGTAGCCATTATTGAATTTATGATAATGGTATAATTTAGTATTAAATTAATATCCAAAAGTTTTATAATAATATAATTTTCATTTTTTATAACTATATTATTTTAATATCACACTAAACTAGTTTCAACTTGATTAAAAACTTTGATAACCTCTTAATATTATCATTTGTTATAATTACAGAATTATCTATATGTATCTTTGATTCTATATTGAAAGCATCACAGTATTTTTATTAATATCTCCTCCTTCATCATATTATTATATTTAAGCAATACTTTACATATGTATTCTTTTAGATATCATATGAGTTCTTAAGACTATTATAAATAATTTATATTAATTTGGGAGAAATTCATATTCTTAAACGTGAATAGGAAATTTATCAAAATTCTATAATTTTAATTTTTCCTTTACCATTTATTATAATCAACTTGGGAATTTGTATATTTACAGAAATTTTCCTATTTTTATTGTAAATTTATTTCAATTTAGAGCTAAGAGGATATTTAAACCCTTTTGAACTTATACTCTGTTTATTATGTTTCTAGCCTCATTCGCACTTAAATTTAGAAAATAGAAATTAATTTTCTAGAATGGGGTATGTTTTCAATTAAAAAATATATTTTAAATAATTCCAGAAAAAATGTTAGTAATTAGAATTTTAAATAATTCTACTTATAAATCGTATGGACATTCGCAGATCTCAGATAGACATTTATGCAAACTTGAATTATTTATTTGAGATTTCGATTTGTAGATATTAATATTTATAAAATAATAAAAAAACTATGCTTAGTTCTTAAAATTTAGATACAAAACCAATAGGAGAAAAGTATATTTTATACAAGAAAAAAATGATAGGAGCAGTAATGAATATTTTGAAAATAGGGCGCTTTTGCCTAAGTTTTTGAAGGTTTTGTGAAAGGAAAAGCATAAGAGAAAGTGGCCATAAAGGTTCTCCAAAGTTTGCCTGCTAATTCTCCGGGTTAAACAATAGAAAAAATGAAGACGTTATATAAGAGAGAACGTGAGATTCACTGCAATATAGACAGCGAACATGTTGTGAAGTATCAAATTTAAATAGTAATTAGAATGTTAGATGTAGTTGTATGTGATCAATCGACAAACTTAATATTAGAGCTTTGCGAGGAGGGAAACCTAAATAAATTATTGAATCGATAACAAAAGAGACAATTGCACCAAGAACGTGCCTATCAAATCTTTTGTCAAATAGCGGAGGGCTATAAAACATTATACAGTTTGAAGACTCTTCATCGAGATTTGAAGCCAGAAAATATACTATTCTCTAAGGGTGTAGCTAAAATAGCAGATTTTGGATTTGCGAAGATAATAGAGGAAATGGATTTAGCCGTAGATTAAACTGTTGTTGGCACACTCTTGTATCAGGCTCCAGAGATGATGGTTAGTTCAAAATATTCATCTAAAGTTGATATTTGGTCTTTGGGGGTCATCTTTTATGAAATGCTGTATGGAGTTGTTCCATTTATTGACAATCATCCAAATAGATTGCATAAGAAGATAACAACAGAACCACTTAAATTTCCTCAAGAAGTTCAAATAAATGAGTCTTACAAAACTTTATTAACAAAAATGCTAAAGGTAGATCCAGAAATGAGAATCAGATGGGATGATTTATTCTTATTTTTATCAAAAGACACACCTTTTCAGGTTGTGACCAATGAAAATTTGAGTATGGCATCTACTCATATGAGTGATAGTGAAAGCTTTCAAACCAAATATTAAAAGGTTGAATAGTAGATCAATAAGATTGATGAAATGAAGGACTACTTTGATTATGTTCAAAGAATAATCTCATTTTCTAATAATAATACTACTCGACTATTCTTTACATTACAAGAGAAACTTTAAATCAATCAATCTATGTAAATATTGTTTAGTTTAACATCAACTAAGTATTTGTTAAATGAGTATAATTTTTATTTGTAAATCTTGCAGAGCAATGTATTGATAATCATTTAAACTTTTAGCTTCCTCCAGGCGAAATCAATTTCAAGGAGAATGACATCAAAATGTTTTAAACTGATTAAGCCAAATATTACAAAGTGTTAAACTATTTTAAAACCAATCAAGAATAAATGAACTAATTTTATAATGAAAAATTATTACCATAATTTGTGAAATTAAAAGCAGCTGATTAGAATAATCCACTTGTAAATAATTTCATTTAATCATACCTAGATACAAATTATAGCTGAATTAGTTCAAACCAATTAGAAAAATAAAAGATCACAGGAAATCTTTAACAAAATGTACATTTAATTTATAGATGAAATCACCAAGTCAATCAAAAAAAGGTAAATCATTGACGAAGCTACTTTAAGACAGATTTATACATTATAAATTAACATGTACTTCTCGCTTCATCCTTAGAAGTTTATATAAAATGAATTTGAACCAAAGAATTTAGAAAACGAAATAATTTCATTATCAACTCAAAAATTGGAAAATAAGCTTTATGATCTAAATGTCATGTATTCTGCTCTAATAAAATGATTAATTATAAGAATATTTTGTAACCAAATTGGAATGGGATTTAAATATATTTATTAAATTGATAATGTTGTTACCCAAGAGAGATCTCTATAATCACGATTATACCGTTAAATTCTATCCTAAGGTTAATAATAATCAATTCTATAAAGACATGATGAAGAATGTATCTGCTATTTAACTCTATTAAAGGAATAATTGCTTAATTATTATGTTTTCAAGAATGAATTCTTCAAATAACATGTTGAATTACAAAAATATCGAGATTATGGTTTGATAGGTTCAGTTGGTGTCTCTTTAATTGCAATATACTTTTATAAGAATCTCCCTTTGATTTCAAGAATTTAAGGCAAATGGACATCATTTTTGATGAAATTAATGATTTTTGGCTTACCATATGCGACAGTGTATATTGTGACAGATGAATTAAAGGAGAAGTAGATGTGGGATCAATACACCAAGAATTTCAAAAATTATGTATATTATAAATAAACGGGTGACATCAGATGCTTTAAAGTTTAAATTGAATCTACAGTTTGACTTCATCTATTTATATTAAAGAATTCATAATCATAAAATCAATTATTAAATATCAATGGTTATCCTGATAAATTTTAATAGAACAACAAATAAGGTGACTCCTCTACTCTATTAAAATATATTTGTTTATACATCAATTCTTCATCCAATTGTTTGCTACTGAATTAAAAGACCGAAATCATAGTATCATCAAAGGCAATCCAGGTGTCAGGCTTATTTAGTTATCTGGCATAGCAAATGTAATGACCAGAGTTACTGTTTTTACCCTTAAATTAATTAGTAGTTAAGTAATACCAAATGAACTATGAATGCATAAAGATTATAAACGCTATCTTAACTATTAAGATGATTATTTGGGAAGGCTTCTCGGAAATCAATTTAAAATTGGAATGGAACTTTAGTTAAGATTTTGGTCATTGTTTGGCTATTCTGATCATATGTGAACCTTATAAATACAAGGATAGGAGATACCTATGGAGTGTCATAAATAAAACTGATGGTAATTGTAGCAATTGTTGAGATTTATAGATTTTATTTGTCTTTTATCTACATCTTTCACATGTAAATTCTATTTATTCTTCTTCGTAGGCTTTCTTGATCATACTTATAATGTCTATGTTATTTTATTTATTGAAATGCAAATCAATGCCTAAGAATTTTTCTTTGTATCCGTAATTTGGTTGAGGTTTGACACAATTATAACATTTAATGATTTATCTTTGATACCCAAAGAACTGGTTTCCAATAGTAGTTTTAAAGGCTTCGTTTGGAGTTACTTCAAATAAGTCTTCCAAGAAATGATGAACAAATTCCCCAACATCCTATTAGTCGTTGGTGTTACAATAGGGTTGTCTCAAGGATCGTTTCAATTCGTAAGGGGAACAATAGCCATAATTTTGATATGTTAATTATGTGAATAGTTTTTTGAGACAATTCCATAGAGAAGTTTGAGGTGTTAGTTGGAGAATTGAATTAGGAATTTACATTTACAAAACGAACTTTCTAAAACTCTCAGTCATGTATAAGCTTTGAAGGATACTATTCATAAAGCAAGTGTTAGTAAGATTCTCTAATCCTACAAAGTCTTTGGAATCTCTCTATTATAGAGAACTCTTGGGAGTAATCTGACTTTTGACAGTTTGGAATTCCCAAGGGTAGCATTTACTAATTTAAGTGTATTTATTTTTTTCTAATGATTTCTCTTCGAAAAACCTGTAAATCTTATGGAAATCTTCAATTTAATTCAATGCTTTGTAGTTGTAGTTTATCATTTACAGGAATTGAAATCTAGGAGTTATGTGATCTGCAGTATTGAATTTCAATGATGCATTCAATGTTAATCTAGATACCATGAGCTTAATTGATCGCTTAAAGGGTTCTTAATCAATTGATGACATTCCTATAATATAGAAGAGTAAAAGATCGATGATTTCATGAGTCAGGTTCAAAATTTACAAATTTTCCAATATCTTAGTGAGGATGAATTCCTAATAAACTTCTCTTAGTATGTGTAAATATTACTCATCATTTTGATCCTTTACTATATCATAAAACATTTGACTAACAGTTTTGATGATGAAAATTGCTTCTTGGCTTATGCAATGGGATGTCAAGCCTTGAAATATTTTGATTGTATCTTGAGAGTTCTTAAAGTAATTGTCCAACATGTAATTTTTGTTGCTAATCAACAAATCACTCAAATAATCTAATTTTATCTATGATTATATATTGATACTAGTACTTTGCTTAGTAAGATATTCAATCCCATTGTGTTTCCATCATAGGCATGCTACACAATCCCACTAATGAGACACATCCAATCATGCACTTAATTTTGATCGGCCTCTCCTTTTCCATCGCATTGTAGCAATAAAACACTTGCCAGACTATCCAATAATTCGATATCTTAACGATTTTATTGTTTCAAACATTTAAATGGGATTTGCATCAATTAAAACAACTCAGGATTAAAGCTTAAGTCTTTCGGACACAACTTAATGATCAATCCAATCATCTATCTCTGAACATTTAGATCCTGTGTATCGAGATGCAGCTTTTATAGAATGTTTCCTTTCTGTCTGAATTCCATAATGAGCTTTTCACTTTAGAATCCCAATTCTTTCAAAAATCCTCTATATCCTTAAATTCTGTCATCCAAGTAATTAAGGTAGATGCAAATTTGATCCAATTCCCTTATGCTTTCTCTCACTCTCTTAAATAATTGAAGATCACTGAAAATATTTCCGAAATTGATTTTTTATGCCTAATCCAATAACACCAAAGAGTCTTCTCCTAAAGTGTGTATGTGTTTATATACTCCTTCAATCTCTTGTTAGTTCAACCCTTTACAGCTCTACTCAAGCGCTTTTAGTTTCTCCTTGACACTTGTAGCAGAAGCAATTATTTTATCCATCTTTTGCTTTTTTCCTATATTTTTGATAATATTTATATATAATTATACATACATATAAATAATATATATCTAATTGTCTAAACATATATATTTTATCAAATTGGAAGTTCCTCATTTTTCTATTCTTTCAGTTTATTCTCATATTGAATCATGATATCAGAGAATTCCTAAAATAGTATAATTAGATACTTTAAAAAGATTCTTAAATGTATCAAACGCATTGTCCTTCTTCTTCTATTGATTCTTCTCAAAATTTTCATTATTCTTTTTACATATATTCATTGTTCTCAAATAAATGTAGCCAAAACCTTAAAGAACAATCGAATAGGTTTAGAAGTACAATGAAGCAACATAATATCCTATCATTGCAGCAACCAAACAAGTGAGATTGGTCTCATACATCTCTTTTGAAAAGTATTTGAAACCCAAAATGACCTTACAGATTATTGCACAAAACAAGGCAATAAATATTTTGGTTATCAACAAGAATGAATCAACGGTATTTCCTATTCTGTATTAATGAAAAATTACTTAATTATTCGAAGATTTCTGCAGTGCTCGAATCCTCCTATTTCAGTTCCAAATATTCATCAATGAATTTCAAGCACAAATTGATGGATAAATTTTTTTTTCTATTTATTGCTAATTCCACATAAACAACTTCCTCGATTTGTCTGGTTTTATTGTATATCTCAATGAAGGGCAAACAGCAATATTTTACAAGGAAATTTCTAAACTTCTCATTTTTTCTCCTGACTGCCCAATCCTTCAAAGCATCACACACAAACTTGACTGGGGAAATCAGTAGTAGAAGTGAGGCAAAAGTTATCTTACCTATGTTGTAGAAGGCTTCTTGCAAAAAGTATCTGGTTAAAACAAGGGAAGATTAATTGTGATTGTATTGAAGTTCTTACTCCTGATTATGTACGTGACCCACTTGAATCCATTATACTAAGGATGATGATATGATGTAGTTATTCAATCCGAAGATTACTTGGACTCCCCAAAAGAAAAAGATATATATCAAGAACTGGAAATAATAGAGAACTCCTCCTTAGATCTTTTCAAAGGGTCCAATCTATTGGAAATCAATCACAAAACAAGCTCTTAATGATCTACTGTGAATATATGAATTAATACAGAACCGTGTAGATGGTTAAAAATAGAAAGAAATTAAGTACTATAATCATAGGATATGAGAATTCTTGAAGGTATTCGTGTTCAGCCATAAACTTTTCCACTTATTCAAATAATTCCGACAGATTTTTGATTCTATCATAATTGTTATATAGGAAATAAGCTCCATAAAATGTCAGTATTACAAAAACAAAGGATAAAAATATTAAATTGATTGGATCTGGTACATTTGTCATTTTCAAAATATACTCTTCATCAACCTAAAAGGAAGATATTGAATTAGTTTCTAATGAGTTTTTGATAGCTTCTCTTACTTAGGAAATAAAAATAATTCCCAGACTTCCCACAAATACAAATAATCCCAAGGTCAAACCCCAGACACTATATTAGGTATTGGCCTTTAATTAGACAAGCAGTAATTTTGAAGCAATACCAGCAAGGATAATATAGATGAGGAGCATCCATTTATTATAAAACACGTCACTTGTATTTGTTAACCTAGATGGAGGAGTTGCTATATCTTTGATCGCCTCATAATAGGCTAAATTTCTAGGCATACAGATATTGCCTTTGTAAAGGAAAGTATCATATATTAAAAACTAGTCGTCTGGATTATCAATGGAGAATTTAGCCTTACATTACTGAACAATAGAGTTTGGTACACATTCCAGTTGTGTGGGCACTAATGATTTGAATTTTATATGTACTTGTATTCTAGCGATCGGGTTTGGGACATGATTTCACACAAACTGATTAATACTAAGTAGAAGGGGTGGGATTACTGAAATAAATGTAGGGGTATTCTTTGGATCCAAAATCAGCACCACATGCAATGCCTAGATATTAATATGTGTTTTACCATCTGGATCAAATCCTCTTGTCAGCTTTTCAGGTTAACCAAAGAGAATGCTTGTGAATGTTAGGGAAATGAAAATCACCATGCTTGCATAGAAAGTGATCTTGACTACCAAAGTTGAATCGATGATCATTCAGTTATTAATAAATATATATATATATATATATAGTAATAATTCATTTCAAAGTGTTTAATTTATTAAATTAAAGTATTCAAGAGTCTCAGCAATCTAAGAAGAAGCTTTGGTTCTGTTTCTGAAGCTCTTCTGAATCTGATGCAAAGTGTTCATTTCAGCATCTTCTCTTTAGGTGATTGGTTTCTGGGCTAGTTTTGGTTGTGGAGAGAATACGATTTCCTTCTAGTAATGGACTTGGATGTACAAATAAGTGACCTTTTTGCTGGGACAAGGGATCACTGGAAAATTGATGGTTTGAAAATGTTGTGGAATTGAAGAGTTCTCAATATTGTATGCTATCTTCATATGCTTGTTGAAGGAGGGGATTTCTTGAGAAAGTGGGAGATTGGCCAATATTCCTAGAATACTCCTAGATTGTAAAAGAGCTAGACGTTGTGTTTTCTTAAATGCCTGATCGCTAATCTTAAATTATCTTTTTAGTGTTGTTCTATTACTCGTTTGTTATGATTACTTCTAAGACCCAAACTTCAACTAGAATCCGAGTATTCCATTTCTGAATGTAGAAATTCATCTGCAATCTTAAATCCGAATTCTCATTCACCCATATCCCCTTGATCTGCCACAGATTCAACACATTCGAGTGTCTCAAACTTGAGGGTTTCTACTCTACTCTCTGATTCAATATCAGTTCAGCAAACTCATGCAGCAGCACTTTATGTGGTTTTAACATAAAATAAATAAAAAAATCAGAAATTTAAAATTATTTTAATCAACTCTCTTTCTCCCTTATCAACTAAAGACTTATTTCGCATCTCCCTTATGAAATTTGAACGTCCTCTCAAAAAGTCTCTCACATGTTACTTGTACTTCCTCTCCTTAATATGATTCTAAGTTAAATACAATATTCTCTGCAGATCTTCAACTCCATCCAAACGGTTCACAAACTTCTGAAATGAATAGATGACAGAATAGTAATACAGCGTAGCCACATTCACACTTTTTAATAGATCTACCGCATATTAGCAAATTGATCTAAGGATACAACAATACTCGTATATTGATTATTATTGTTCCTATTTCTTTTGAGTATCCTCTTGCTTAATGAAATCCTCCAAATCTTCGTCGATGCATTCGCTGATCTTCTTCAAAACTGGTGTGTATTTGATTTTCCAATATTCAGGATTCATATGCTAGATTTGGTTCTAAATGTATTCTGGATCCTCAAGCAATTTATGATTGTGTATGTCTCCTATAAAGATGTACAGAAAATCAAATGTTCTGTTTTCGGTAGCATTCCTTTACAAATGATCATCAGCCGTATTCTCATAAAAGTCAGACATTTTAGATTTGACTTCACATTCCCATTGATATGTTTCAATTGAATTGAAGATTGTCTTTGGAAATCACTCGACTATGCTAGATGAGTTTTAGCAGTTGTGGCTAACTTCAAGGCTTCTTGATAAGTGATCTACTTTTTGATGACATTGTGGATATATTTATTAACATTCATCTACCCTTTCTATGAAAGAGATTCGAGAAAGTCGTTGAAGATATGCAGGGATTCCTCTTCGACCTACTATTTAGAGAAGGGATAGAATGCTGGTATTTTAGTAATGAACTTTTCAATGAGAGAATGTTTAATAATCTCCAGTATCCTCAATATAGGAAGGATGGTCAAAATGTAAATATTGAAATAAAGGATTTCCTCTTACTTATTGGATGCAAAATCTTGTTCTTCAGGATGGAGGTTGTCTAATATTTTTTATATTTATCCTCGTTCTTTTTTTAACTTGATTAGATTTAAAATAATGTTAATTTTCATTGTAATATTAATAATATTTGTCACCCCATTTAATTTCGTATATAGATATATGTAAAATATCAAGTTCATTTCTTCTTCTGCAATAATGCATTGTACTGTGTGTTCATTGATTTATTGAAAACATTCGATTTAGATACTGAAGCTTGCATTCCTTTTCTCGAAAACTACTATTGAGATAGAGTACTCTGCAGAGTGGCAGTCAAGGTGCTCAGCAACTTCTTGTCCAATGAAGATCTCCTATTCCCCTTGTTCATTGGACTATTGGAATCGACCATTGGAAACATCTGCTGTTGCTTCTTTTAAGTGGGACTTTGATACATCGAGACCTAAAACTAATTATCCTCCTATGAAGCAGTCCTCCGCATAAACTACCCTTAAGAGTAGGACTGAGATTTCCAATGAAGACCTCTATGAGGCTGTTGACTATCATTTTCAACTTTGGGTTTCTCAGGATCCTTCTTTGCAGTGGAAGATTCCTTTTTAGTAGGAGATGAGGACTTGTCAAGACTTGTATTCACACTATTGTTCTAACTTTTGATGAGCTTCTATTTCTATTCAATTCTCCTTTTTTGATCTATGCGACTATACAGAAAATTCTGATAATCCTTAGTTGAATACTTATGATTGTCATCCATCAATGTTTCCAACGGTGTATCTACCGTTTATACCATGAATTATTATACCTCTCTTAGACTCCACCTCTTTATTCTTAAACTCTTTGATATAGCTATGTTCCAATGCCTGCTCCACTGTCATTCTTTTATTTGGATTGTAGACCAGAGTCTTCCTGCAAAGGTATATACATATTAATTTACTTGAGGAAATCAATAGCGTCTTCAGTAGCAGTTGGAAAGGTTTGCACAAAACCAATCATCTACTTAATTGTTAAGTTCTGCATCATGTGCTCTGCCATCGGAGCACATAAGGCTTCTAGGTCTTCTGGAGTAGGTCGTCCTATGAGTTCCATTATCTTTTCAATCTAATTCAAATTGGAGCTCCCTGGGAAGAGAGCTTTTCCTAATAACATTTCTCCCACTATGCATCCCAAGCTCCAAATGTCAACTGCCTTGGAATAAGTTGAAGATCCAAACAATATCTCAGGGGCTCTATACCATCTTGTAGCTACACTTTCAGTGAGTATGGGATTTGTGTCGTCCTCTGGCTTAGCTACACTTCTGGCCAATCCAAAATCCGCTATTTTGACTTTGCATTCTGAATTGATCAACAAATTGGAAGGTTTCAAATCTCTATGGATTACTTCGCCAGTGTGTAAATATTTTAAACCCTTCAACACTTGATAAACTATATATTTTTTGTGAAGGGGTTGCAGAATCTTTCCTCTTATCACCTAGTTCTCTAACAAGCATACATACATTGTGCACATCCGTCTCCATGTAATCGAATACCATATACAAATCTTTATTGTTCTCTGCCTTTATGACAGATGTCAATCTGATTATGTTTTCATGATTCCTGAGTTGCTCCAAGAAGATCACCTCCCTAAATGTTCTCTATGAATCAGTGTCATTGTGGAAAGCATCAAAAATCTAAATCCTATTTATAGCATATACTTTCTTGAGTGCTACTACCTAATTAGTCTTGCGATCAAGAGCCTTCCAAACTACTCCATATGCTCCTTTCCCCTTGAATTCCAGCAATTCAAACTTCTCCAAAATGTGATTTTCCATCCTCTTCTATTCCTCCTCTTTTGCCTACTATTTAGATTATGGTTACATATAAAATTATTATATATATATTATTAGTATTTTCTAGCATTAAAAAATATATTGTCAATAATTATTAATCCCAATTAAACAATTAATATATATAAAGCTAACATTCATCAATTACGCTTATTGTACCTTTTCTTTGGTTTAACTGTTTCATAACCATCCGAATCAACACTATCTTCCTCCTCCTCAACTTGCATTTATTGCTGCTATTATTGAACCAATTAAGGAGGTTCCTCATTTTCAGAGTCCTCATCTGAATCTTAAATATTAGCCACATGTTTAAGATTCTTATTCTGCTCATTATACAACCTGATATCTTCTAGCAACTGCAAATACTTACCCTCCTTATCTTATTCCAAATCGTTATACACATCCAACAGTCTCTCAGCAATCTTATAATAAATCAATATTTTACATATTGATCTGAATTGTCTTCAATTATCAACTATAAGTATTATTCCAAATACACTGAGAGAAATTATACTAAGTCCTCTTTTTCGGTCTCGCAATTATAAATGTAAGCTGCCAATTAGTAAGACATCAGCTTTTTGATATTCTCAGGACTCTCCTGGATCGTTTGAGTTTAATGCTCAAAAGCAAGCTTCAAAGCTACCCAACTCTCGATTATTTGAGTACAAGCAATCTACAAACGAGCTCCAGTGAAATTATCTGGGACACGATATTTCTCTAATTCCTTTAACATATTTTAAAAATTATATTATTCAATTTGCACTTTTTGCTTTCCTTTTCTTGCCTTCTTTATTAATTTTTCTTAAGAAATAATGTCAATAATAAATGCTTAGAGATGAGTTTGTGTCAACTTTTATTTACATTAATTACTTAATGTGCTTTGGTTATTAATAAGAAGAGAGAGTCGTAGAGGATTAATTGCATAGTATTTTGATGAAATGGATGATGACCAAAAAAAATCATATAAAAACGTATAAGGAAATCTATTGAATTGAGAAATACTGTTTAAATATTGATAAGCATAAAAAGGAAATTCTGAATGCAATTTATTTAGCCAACAAATCATTGATACCTTTGTTACAAAAAATTTAGTAGATAGAGTGTTGTGATATCTGTACGTACTCTCTTTTATAGAGTTCATTGAAAAATGGCTAATGTATGACAGATGAAAAAGACGATAGTTATGAGGAAATCAGAAATGTTTAGGGTATAAAATACATTGCAGATTTTATGAGAATTATTGAAAATCCAATATGTGTTTCGTATTAAAATTGACGGCATACTAATACATTATAAAATAAGGAAGAAAGCTAATTAAAATTATACTTAAACAAGGGATGATGTATTGTTTTTGGTCAATTTATATATGATTTTTGAAATCAAAAATGAAGATCTATGAAAATAGATTCCCAAATGATTTTAAATTAATATGAAATACATAGAGTTGTTTCTGATTCACCAGAGCAATAGCGGTGTAGAGTAAAATCAAATTGTTGAATCCAAACAAAAATCATAAGCCGAGCATGCTAGAGAATGTATTTAAATGAATAGGGAAATTATATTATTGGAACAGTGGTGTAAATATAGTAATTAGAACACTTGAGTGAGTTAATTATTTTAAGTTAATGTATAAGAAAAGGATGAGTATAAATATTATATAAAATATTTAATTTAAATAACGATTAGATGAATTCGGAGATTGCTCGTTTGGAAGAGTTAAAGCAAGCTGAAATTCAATTAATGCAATAAGTATATGAGTAGAAAGTAAAGATATTGAATTTTAACAGTGAAGATCAATTATTTGAATACAAAGTTGTAATTATTGACGAAAGAGGTGAGCAAGAAGGATCAGGAGATAATGCAATTTAGTTAATAAAATTAAGGCGTAAACAAGGTGAAGACTGAGTAGAGTTAGAAGGATTTGGAGGCTGAGAAACAATATTAGAAGGAGTATTTGAATGCTTTGTAATTGGAGAAGGAGTAGGAAGTGGCCAAATTAAAGAATCAATATGCACAAGATATATAGAATTGTCAAAATTTGTTGAGGAATAGGGATAAAATAATAGAGCAGTTGAGTAGTGAGTTACAGCAACATAGATAACAATCTTTGAAGTACATGGATAATTAGAAAATTTAATACTTATCATAAATTCTTGATTTGTCTAGTGAATTATAATTATTATTGTGATTTATAACTCTTTAAAATAGAAGATTTTATCTCGTATAAATCTAGTTTGGATTATAGTAAAATAATGAGAAATAAATAATCAAATGAATAGAAGAAGATAATTATAATTGAACAATGCTTATGAGAGAGTGTAGGAAATAAAGAAAAAGATTCAAAAGAGTTAAACCGAATAACCGCGATTCCCTTGGCAACTTATGTAATTAATGTGTTATGAAGAAAGGTTCCTTTACAAAATTTACATGAACTTGAATTTAACTTAAATACCTCAAGCGATTCCATCTTATCTAAAGGTAGTGAAGGCAAGGAAGCCGAAAAATTGGTTTGATGACATACCGATTTTGGTAGGAGTGGATGAAATCCCACAGCCAGAGTAAATATTTATAAAGAAGAATAGAATTTGCGCAATATGTTTATCAGAGATAAATGACAAAAACTTAATCAAAATTCTAAAATGCAATCATTACTTCCATAATGAATGTATAAAGGATTGGCTGATAATAAAAGCAGAGTGTCCCACTTGCAGAAACAAAATTGAATAATATTGATATATTAACTTAGTATATGGAATATCAACAGCAACCTTTCTTCTTTTTACTTTTAGTTTTGTCTGTAGTGAGCATCTCAGTGTCTTTGTTTGCTGAGTTTATGATTTTCCTGATATTTCTAGCAAGTGAAACGAAAACCTCACTTAAATTAATTCCCAACTTGGCTGAAGTCTCAAAAAAGTTGAGATTATGTTTGTTGGCCAAAGCCTGTCCTTGATCTCTAGAAATCTATCTCAATTCATCCAGATCAGACTTATTTCCAACTAAAACAATCGAAACTGTATTTGTATCAATGTTATCATTGATTGACTTGGATTAACTTAAGTTTTACTTCTAGCCAATCTTCCACATGTTCAAAAGTGCTTTTTGATGTGATATCATACACCAACACAAAACCCTATGCTCCTTTAAATGTATTTTTTGTGATGGATTTGAATCGTTCTTGACCGCATGTATCCCAAATCATCATCTTTATAGTTTCTCTTTCATTCATCTATATCATCTTTACCCTTGAATCAGCTCCAATTGTGGGAAGAGAGTTCATTTTAAAATTGGTATCACAATACTGTGTCATTATGTTTGTCTTTCCCACCGTTGTATCTCCAATGATTACTACTTTAACTAACATATCTATTTTTTCCATTATATAAAAATATAATTATATGATTATGTAAATTTATTTATCTTTTTTTCAATCCAATATTGGTTTCGTATTTGGTTAAATGGGTAAGAACCAAATTAGAGGATTGATGCCGAACACTTCGACAATATTCTCTAAAGCACTCTTCTGAACTGGTAGTCTGGGTTTATTTTCGCAATATTCAAGGGTTGTGATGTTAGATTTGATAGCCCTATTTATCTCATTATAATGAATTAGAGTACCATAAATGGAATAATGTGAAGGCTGTTAAGAGTATCCACAAAAAACTACAATACAGAAAAGTGAAAGAAACCAGGAATAGTTTACTATCAGATGAATATGAATTAAGGGTATCATAATAGCAACGACTATAAGTTATCATTATAAAACTTATTAGCAACCCTAGATATAATTAATCTTATACATGAATAACCGAGTAAATTGATGAACATTTTATAATTGTTGTAACCTATGCAATTGTTGAGCCATTGACAATGATGATCCATTTTCAACCAGCATGTCTTACATTAACGGCAATGATGGCAACGTTTTGGTTTAAATGCCTAACAGTTCTTTACAAAACCGATGACCAGACTTATCTATCAATTCCAACCTTGCTTTAGAATTTAATTGCAATCGTTGTTCATCATCTATTTCTGAAGAGAAGGATGTTGATGTTTGTGATCCCTTCTTGTGAAAATTGATCATATTCTCCTCATTCTCTATCATCTTGTTGATCTCTCCCTCCACTCTGTTCAGCCATTCCTTAGGCACTTTCCCAGGCAATGTTGTTACTACTCTTATTAATGTAATTAAAAATAGAACAAGTATTGTATGCAATAATACTGTAATTACTACAGTTGAATTGCTGAAGACATAGTCATTGATGTGTACTAATTGAATCAAGTAAGTGTTTATTTCTATGACTGGTTTTTCAATGTACTCCGATCTTATTCGGGGCAACAAGTAGGTCTTGAACATTAATAGGTGTCATATACCTACATATACACTCCATAGAAGAATAGAAATATCGTGACCAATATAACAAAAGGCATCCATGTTCCAATGTAACAAAGTAATTGTCCTTGCTTATAATATTTCATTTATTTATATTTATAATTTAAAAACGCATTTATGAAGACACTATGATGAAGCAACTCTATGATAATAAATATATGTAAAATGTTATATAAATATTATTTTAATGATGTGATGGGATAACCCTATTTAATGGAGATTTTTAGGTTAATTAAGGAATCATTCGAAATCAACAATTGATTTACATTCTAATCAACTTTGAATAATAAGATTCAAAAGTAAATTCTTGTGAGATCAGGCTATTTTTTTAAGAACTTCAATAAAGTCTAAGTTAAAAGGAAAAACATAATAATTATAAACAAAATAATAATTCGATTAAATAATAGAATTATCCATAAATATTAATTCTGTGGGTTCTTTTAAACTTATTATAAAATACACATATGGATAATATTTAATGTTCTTTATTCCAGTAATTTGTATC